ACATAAAAGTATCAAAAAAATTTTGTAGTAATGTTATTTGTATTAAGCCATCTTATTCGTAACCCCTGAATTGGAAATAGGAAAAAAGGAAATTAAAATGGTTTAAAATAATGCAAAACTTCTAACTGTTTTACTTCATTTTATTCCATAAAAAAAAAAAATTCTGACACGCTACAAAAGTTGTTAGATAGGGGGGTTTGAATAGAATTTACTATTCATTGCAATGAATTGCACCGTAGCGTCTAAATTAGACCATGCATATTGAATACATGTATGTGTGTTGCACGTGAATGCCTCCTCTACTGTTATATTAAAATAGTATTGCAGTACTTGAGTTTCATATACTGTTCTTTTATAAATGGAGGGTAAAATCGTAGAAAATAATTAATAATTTATTAAAATTCTAAACGAGAATTGGTTTTAAAAAAATAAGAACTCTAATGTCATAATTATTGGAACCCAAGCGAATTACTACTTCATCCATTTAAAAATGTAAAGTATTTTTTAAAGAGTTAGATATTTAAAAATGTAAAATATTTTTAGTCATTTCAAGTCTAATCATTACTTTTTTCCAAAAGTGCTCATATTGATAATGACTTTATATTTATTATAGTGTGTTTAATAGGAATAAATATGAAAAGATAAAGTTAGTTGAAAAGTAGATAATTACTTTATTGAGGAGTGAGATTCAGTTAAAAATGTCTCATATTTTTAATAGAGGAAGTATAAAAACAAATTTCTTTAAACGACATGATCAAATTTTATATGGCTCTATAAATATTTAAATGAATAAATTCTTGATCAAGTGGACTAGTCTAATAGACGACGTTAGTCTCACAAAATATACTTAAAAAAAAAACTAATGTTTGAATTCACATCATTAAATTTGTTTACATCTAGTACTCAACTATACTTTGAATATAATTAAAATTAATAAATTAACTAGATGTGTCAAAGCGAAACAAGTGCACAATAATAAAAATAATTAATAAATTATTGATAAAAATTAATTTAATTGAGAGCTGAGATTATGATAACTTTTGAACTCCTAGCTAGTCTCTCATTCTCATACAAGAAAAATCTCTTAATTCACGATGTATTAAATTAGAGGTAAACATTAATTGTAATTATTTAGCAAGAGGATTAAATATCTCTAAAAAATGAAAAAAATTTGAAGGAAATAGCTATTAATAAAATTACGCATATTCCCTATTGTAGTGAATCACATGTGTGGCTAGCTACAGCTCTTGTTTCCTTGGTCAATTGAAGGCGCAGAGTTGAAGAAATTTGTCTTTCTTTTTTTTTTTTCCCTTTCAAGAATGAAATTGATAGAGGATATCAAAGTATCAATTTAGTTTTGTGATATTATTTATTTCTTAACAAAATCAGATGGTAGGAAACAAATATATTGGTTCATGACTTTTTTCTTTTTGGTAAAATACAAAAATAAGGTTAATTGGATTTCAAGAACTTAAAATAATAAGCCAAATGATGAACCTTCATTGAATGCTGTCCAGGAAGTTTCACATAAATTTTTGTGTTAATTGGCAAACTTATCTCTAAATTATAAGTTCAAGAGTATCTAAGATTCTAAATTTATTTTTAGCATAATGCTTTTATTAAACTTTTGAAAACAATATAATATTATTTTTATCCTTAATAAATATCAATTTTAACCATTAGTTAAATATAAAAGGTGTGTGTGTGTGTGTATAACACCCTTTAGTCGTGGACTATATGAAAATAATTTATTTAATTTAATCCTTGACAAAATATAATATTTGCACATATAAGTTGTGTCATTCATTAATATTCTATTTTCTGATGGCACCTAATCTTCTCTTTTACTACATGAATGTTGACATGTCATTATTTGCAGGTAAACTTAATTGGATTGCCCCCCAAAAAAAAAAAATGTTAGCACCCTGAATGTGACATGTCACGTTATAAATCATCTGTACTCAATGCAATGAAGGCCAACTTTTAAAAATCAAAATCTTATTTTTGTCTGGCTCAAAATTCATCAAAATTTTGTTCTCCTATAATTCAGCTAAAATTAAGTAAATCGTAATACTTGTTATTAAAATAATATTTTATTAATCAACACCCCATCCGGTCCTATTGTAAGGTACCTTTACAATCTTACCAGAGCCAAGGACATATAGTTACATTATTACTTTGTTTAAAAATAAAATAAACTTCCATTTTTACTCCTATTTAATAAATAAATTTAAATTTTCATTATATTTTCTCTCATAGTTAATGAGTTTAAATATGGATAATATTAAAAAATATAATTAATATATCAAATCAAATACCTTATATAAAGGACAAAAGAATCTTTATAAAAGATGCCATGTAATATGAACCGAAGGAGTATATAATATGAGCTTTATAGAGATTTTTGAGCAAAGATTCATAAGTCATAACATATGGAATGATTCATTGATAATTCAAATTATTGCTGAACTTGTGGACGAAGCTGAAGAATTTGAGAATTACAATTTTTGATGAGATTGCTCCCACATTCCAGTGGGGACAAAATGTGATTTATGACTTCAAAGCATATAAGGTGTTGATTTTGGCAACATTTTAGTGAAGCTTATTTTTTTGGCCACGACATTTTAGTGTAGTTTGAATGACTATTTATTATTATACTGAATTTGTAGTTAAAGTCAAAAGAACCGGAAAATTAGGTTACACGAACAAAACTAAACTACTTAGTTTCGCAAATTAGGGCTTATTTGACAATAATTTACCAACTGACTTTTATCTAGGGAGAATTTTAAATAAAGATTAGGGATGTGACTTAATTATGGAATACAAGTTAAAATAATTTCAATAATGAAAAGACTAAAGTACCATTTACTTATTATGTAGAATCACTAATTGCTAATTTTCTTACTTCACTTATTAATTTACCAACATGACTTGTAAGTTACATTCATTTGTCAAACAAATAGTAACATTGGTTTTTAATTTATTAACTTTACATGTAATTTAAATATCAATTGTAAATTACAAGATCTATATATAATTTACAACTAATATTAGTAAATTAATAAGTAAAATTAATAATTTAACAATTGACGTTGCTGCTTGTGATTGAACAATTGATATCAAGTTTTGTATTATTATTGACATATCAATTCATGTAATTTGCAACTTATACTAATAAATTAATAAGTAAAGTAAGAAAATTAATAACTAGTAATTTTACATAACACGTGAAGGGTACTTTAGTCTTTTCACAATTCAAATTATTTTCACTTTTATCCCATAAACTGAATTGAAGTTTCAGATTTTTTTTTGGATTCACTAATAGTTAAGTCACATTCGTGATTCTTATTTGAAATTCTCCCTTTTATATATTTATGTATTTCTCTTGTTCAATTTATATGGTTGAGAAAATATTTATTTTAGTCCAATTTATAAAACATTTCAATGATTATTAATTATGTGTATTTTAACTTTCTTACCCTTATTAAATTTTGGAAATGTTATTAAATGCCAGATTATACTATTTTTAATAAAATATGTATATTTAATAAAGATAAATGTAAAAACTTAATAAATCTGTAGATAGAGTTAATGCGGTTTAAATTTTTTTTAGTTCTAATAAAAATACTAAAATTGACTTGTAAATAGAGCCAAGGGAGTAGTTCATTGCTTGATGATGATGAACCACTTGGGCATAGGTCCAAATGCTCGTAGATTCCCAAAAATAAAAAAAAAATAAACTACGAATTTTAGACGTTTTTGAAAGTTTTAAACTCAAGAAACAAAAAAAGAAAAATTCATAATATCTTAAACTAAAAAGATATAATCAATGAGTTAATAAGCGGGCTTATAAAATGCAGTGAGAATCTCAGTCTATGAGATTCCAACTTCATAATGTAAAAACGTTTATGGGATTTAGAGTGGGACAAGCGTTGGTGGGATTCTCACTGATTAAGTCTTCCGTCGAAGAATTTTGAAGGAAAAACACTTAATTGATGTTATGCAATTTAAAAAATAAAAAAAAAGAAATTAGTAACTATTAAATCCCTATGAAGCAAGGTCAGTGCTCTATGATTCTGATTTGTTAGCGATGTTGATCGTGTCAATCTCAAATTAGAAATGTGGAAATGGAAATCAATATCGAACTGATCAGCGTGCTTCTTTAGTTTTCTTGGACAAAGATTTATATTTACTGAGCCATAATATTTTATTTTTATTTTTAAATATTTAGTTTAACTATAATAAATTTATATTTTTATTAAAAAATTACTAATATGTAGACTTTCCACGTGTGCTTTTAAGATGAGTGGCAGACTTATGAATATTATGTCTTCTTATATACATTCTACACTATATATATATATATATATAGATAAATAAATATAGATTAAATATTTTTAAATGAAAAGTTACAAAATTATCTTAATACAACTAATTGTGGATGATTATTTTTTTTCAGTAAGTTATAACAATCACAGACCTATTAGAGAATTCAGTACAATTATAATTATAATTGTAATTATGATGTTGCGGACTAAATTGTGGTTGTGGGTAGCATGTTTTTCCTTGAAATATAAGAACAAACTTGTGTTTGTGAATAATAATGTCTGCGTAAAAATATAACAATCTTAGCCATCAACTACTACCCACTTAACTGTATATATTATGAAAAAAAAATCTTGGAAAAATTATTATCCACTCTCTTCATAGAAAATTATAAACATTTTTTTAATTAATCTTGATCCAAAATAGAAACAACTTAGCACTTAGATTTTTTTTTTAAATTTTACCTCTTGTATTATTCTTGTATCTATGAATTTTTGACATTTTTACTCATTATAAATTGAAATTAAGGATAAAAACATAAAATGATATATATTTTAATTAGCGAGAACAAAATTTTTATTGATATACGTATTATGGTTAAAAGATGTTTGTTTTAAAATGGAGGGAATATAATGCTTCAGAATTTGCTCAACAAACATGTAAATGCCAAGAAATGTTTCACGAGAGTGACGATCACAGTTTAAAGTATTGACATTAGCAGATGAATTGTACAGGAAGTTTCTCTTTAGTCTAGCCTATTGCTAATCAAAACATGTTATTCTTTCTCTTATTGGCTTAATTCTTTCTGGTTTTACTTGGCCTATAATTTTCCATGGAAATGGCATAAACTGCCAGAAACACAGAGAAGTGGGGAAAAAACCGAGGGAAAACAGAGGAAGAAACAGAGAATGTTAGGAACAGAGTAGTAATCAAAGATTTACAAGATTAGAAGACAAGAAAACTAGTCGGAGAACCGCGAAGAATTGTTCGAACTGTATCAAGAACTTGAAACTGGAGGTGGCGGCGTACATTTCCATGGAACCACTTGATTTTCTTCATCATCATCATCATCTTCATCTTCTTCTTCTTCTCTGATTTCCTCTTCTTCCTCTCCGTCGTCATCATTTTCGTCTTCATCTTCCCCGCCGCCATGACCGCCACCGTCATGGTCATTCTGTTGTCTCAGTCCCTCATTCTTGGTTCTGGCACAATCTTCACAAACAGACATGGTGGGAACAAACTTGGGTCCAGAGCCACGCCAAGGAGTTAAGGATTGACAGACATGGCAGAGTAGGATTCTGGAGTGTTTTGTTACAAGGAGATTAGCAGAGTGAACCTTGGAATCACAGACCCAACAGAGATCAGCTTGGTCTGATTCGCAGAAGAGTTTTGCAGGAGAGCTGCAGAGCTCACATTTCTTCATAATCTAGAAGGGGGGTGTTTGTTGTTTGAGGAGGCAAGAGGAGAGAACAAGAGGAAGGAGGAAGGACGACAAGTAGTAGTGAGCTTGTGGACGGAAACACAGATTAATACCAAAGGGGGGTGTGAGAGAGAGAGAGAGAGAGAGAGAGAGAGTAGTTGTTAATGTAGTGACATGGAGTCAAACTAGTTGGTTACTCTGTTGATTTCAACTCATTGATGATGATTCCTTTCCCTTCCAGTTAATAATAACAATAACCATAACAATAATAATAATAATAATAGGAGGAGGAGGAAAATGCTGTTCCAAATTACAAGATAATTTTTGAGATAAGATTATACATATAAATAAAGGCTTAATGATGACACTTTATAAACTTATTTTTTAAAAATAAAAATAAAAATTTCTAAAAATAATACCCTTTATTAATAAAACTAGCACAGGGTAAATGGGGCTGTAGGGGTTAGTGTTTTGGCAGGCCGGATTAGGGCCAGTTTGTCAGGCTAGAACTAGCCCAACCCATTGACTGGTGATGGCGAGCTGAGAACTGAGAAGATGAAGGTGATGATGGGCTGAGCAGAGGTAGAATAGCGATAGTGATATTAAATTAGGCACTCTTTAGGGTTAGGTTTAACTTCGTCTTTTTTGAGTAAGAAGAGTGGCTGGATTTGGTCTGGATCTATCTAGTTGGTCCAAAGAAAAAAGTCAGGGAGTTCACACCATTGGCCATGCCCACACGCCGGTCGGACAACAATTTTGATTTTTTTTTGAGAAAATATAATTTTTAATTCCTATACTTTGTTTATATTTTTACTATAAGTTTCTGTACTTTTTTTAAGTATTATAAGTTCTTACGCTTTAATTTTTTGGTATTCTAGATCTCTAAATAAACAAAGTGTTGAAACCTTAGAAAGATCTAGAATACTGAAAAATAAAAATATAATGGCTTATAATACTAAAGAAAAGGAACAGAAATCTATAGCAAAATATAAATAAAGTGCATAAATTAAAAGTTATGTTTTTTAATTTTTTAAAAAAGAAGACTGCACATTTTCAAGGTTTAGGCCGAGCTAGCCCTTTTTTCAAAACATGATCGTTTTACTTACTCAACTTACCAAGATTGGCAAGCTAATGGGTTGGACCGTTAGATTAAACTTATTTGCCTAACTCTAATTTTAACCGATCAAAATGCTTGATCAAAATTGAATTTAGTCTTTTACATGTGGAAGAAATAATTTTTGTCCCTTGTTATATATTTGTAATTCAAAGAACTTGATTGATACAAGTTTTTTTTAGGTTTTATAATTTTTGAGTCCTTTTCTATAAATTTTTAAGCTTTTTTTTCTGTGATTTTTTAATTAACTAACAATCAAAGTTAACATTTGTTAATAGTAAAGGTGATATTGTATCATTTTTTAAAATTGAAGGAAAAACATAAATACCACCCATTAGAGTTAAGTTTAATGAAATGGGCTAATCTTTTATAATATGGTTAATCAATAATCAAATTATTACTAGAAGAGATAGCTATATTTATTTCCAAACTATTCCTCAAATATGATTATTTTCAACGGTATTAGTTCAGCTAAGGGTATTAGAGATCTACTGGTAGTATCAGAGCTTATATTTGTATCACCTAGTTTTTTCAACTTTAAAATTGAAAAAAATACCCTTTATTCTTATGGTATCAAATGAAAAAAATATTAATTTAATTACCATTTGATAGTAGAAAAGTTTGAAATTAGAAGCGATTAAGCTAATTATGAGAAAATCATTAAAATCAAGCATTTTGTTATTTTATTCCTCTTGATGTTTTGAGACTTTTGAGGATTCAAACATTTAATGAATGTTTTTGTTAGATATAGATCAATACTTAATAAAATATACATGGTTGAATGTGTTTATTTATTAGCATATATAAATTTTTATGACCGTAATTTTATTAAAAAGCTAAAAGACACACAAGCTTCAGTTATTTGTTGTCCATATTTGTTAAGGTATATTTGGTGTATTATTTTGATATGTTTATATTCTACATCTATATAAAGAAAAGAGGATTTTAAATGTACAAGTCTTTGATATTATGGTAGGAAGTGCTGATACTAAGTAACATGATCCCCTTATCCAAAAGATGTGCATTGGCGAATTTTATATTCAAGTTTAATTGAAAGGTCTAGACAAGATTGAACAAGAAATTTTCTTGGGAATGTTATTATGCTTAGAAGTGCTGGTACTAACTCATGCTGGAAATGAAGTTGATGAATAAATTAGAATTGGACTAAAGACGTGTTGGGGTTTTGAAGATTATATAGACCTGTATATGGAAATGATGTTTGCAAATAAAAATTATTTGGACAACAATTTATTTTAAGGTTATGTTATGTGTTGTTTTTTTAAAATAAATCAAAGATATTGGGAGGGTTTGAATTTATGGTCTTTATAAATTTTAAAAATGATATCAAAGATCAAATTAGTGTTATCAAAGCTCCTTTGATGGCATCAAAGCTCAACTAGTGGTGTCATAACTTAATTTTGTGACACTAACTTTCTACATTTTAAAACTAAACACTAATAGATAATGTGATACCTTTTGCTTATAAAAACTAAGTAAAAACGTGAAAATAAGGGATAATGCAGCTAGTGTGGTAGTAAAGGTGATAATGATGCACCATACATTTATTCCTTTAGATGATGTAATCTCTAATTTATCGATTACGCATACTCTCCATATAATTTGACACAATGTTTTTACGCGGGGGGAAAAAAAAAGTAAACAATACCTTTGAGTCTTGTTTAAAAATTTTATATCAATAAAAGAACTTCGGATATCCAAATAATTCTATTATTATTTATCTAAATAATATATAAACTTGCAATCATGTAAGTTTTGATAGAAATTATGTTTACAGAGAAAATTATTCGGATAACATTTTTTAATGCCACATTATATGTTGATTCTTTTAGTAAATCGAATATATTCGGAGTGTTTGAATTCATTGTAAGTCTCACTAAATAAAACAGAGAGAGATCATATTAGATCATGAGAGAGGGCGGCTATATTTAGGATTGAACTACAATCATTCAAAAGAGAAGAAAAGAGAAAACAATTTTCCATCTTCACAAGGCAGTATCAATAAATCAATGATTATGAATTCATTAACCGTTAGATCATGATGAAACTTGGCCATCACATTCATAACATCCAACTAGTCATTTTTGATAGTCGGATTGTTGATTTGTTACCTAATGTCAGAGTTATTCACTTCATCATTTGTAACTATTTTTGCATCTTCAAATAAGAACAATCTTGATAAGTCCACATTTTTGAATTCTTTAACTATTGGATTAGGCCAAAATTTGTCCATCAAGTTCATAACATCTAAATCATCATTTGTAATGGTTGAATTGTTGATTCGTTGCCTGATGTGAGAGTTGTTTACTTCATCATTTATAACTATTTTCACATCTTCACTTGGCAATCTTTGTAAATTAGCTTTTTTAAAATTTTAATTGCTGGATTGAGCTGAAATTTGGCCACAGAGTTTCTAACATCCAAATAGTAATTTTCAATGTTAGATCACTGAATTGTTGCTTGATGTAAGAGTTACTCACTTTGTTAATTGTAACTATTTTTGCATCTTCTTAAGGCAATTTTAGTGAATTGGCATTTGCAAAGTTGTTAACTATTAGATCAAGCTGAAATTTTGTCAGCAAGTTTATAACATTTGACTCATTATTTTCAATGGTTGGATCATCATTTCATTTCCTAATATGAGAGTTACTCACTTTATTACTCATATAGGATTTTCCTAAGTTAATGAGATTAACTAATCTAACCCTACAATTAGTGTTTAATGCTGCAATTAGTTATAATTAATATATATTATAGTTTATTAGCGCTATACGAGGCATTATATGGGTGAAAGGGTAGATTTCCGCTATGTTGGGTTGAGTTGAGTGAGAGGAGTATGATTGGTCCTGACATTGTAGATCAAACTGCTGAAAAGATCCAAATAATTTAATAGAAAGCCCTTACTACCTAGACTTTCCAGAGGAATTATGCTGAAGGCAGTGTTGACCACTTGAGTTTACGGTCAAAGGCCATGTGTTTCTCAAGGTTTCTCCACTGAATGGTATTAGTGGGATTATCTGAGTTAAGAAGTTATCACCTCATTTTATATGACTTTTCTAGATTCTGAGGAAAGTAGGTCCTGTGGTGTATCAGATCACTTTGCCTCCACAGTTATCCAGTATACATGATGTATTCCATGTGTCTCAATTGAAAAAGTACCAGTTAGATCCATCACATGTGATTGAGCCAGAGGAAGTAGAGCTTCAAGAAAATCTCATGTATTGGGTTAAGCTGAATTAGATAGAAGATGTAAAGAAAAAGCAATTGTGTAACAAGACTATCTAGTTAGTGAAAGTCTTCTAGAGAGCAATGGCTCTTGGTGATATGATATGGGAAATAGAAGAGAGCATGAGACAATAATACCCTTGTTTGTTCCCTTGAGGTGAGTTTTATAACTATGTTTGAATCTCAAGGGAAAAATTCCTTTATATAAGGGGGAATTGTAACATCTTAAACTTTTAATTTGGAAAACTAATTGCTAATAAAGGGTAAATTAGTAGTTAGAAGATTAATAGTAGTTTTGTATGGTGAATGTAATGCCCATAACGACATTACCGTACGACCCTCTATGTGATCTACAAATCAAAATATAATCTTTGCAAGCTTTGATATCCCAATATAAAACTTTTGAAAATCTCTTTAGAAACTATTTACATTATTCAAAATAACACACAGTGAAAGTACTAAACTTAAACACATCAAATAGCAATTCAAAACATCAAAATTCACACAAAAAATGGGCCATACATCATGGCTTGTACCACATATGCCGTGGCATATGGCATAGAGACCTCAGCTACATGCTCTATGTCATATGTTGTGGCATGTTGTCCTTCATTGACACATGCATCATGACGCACATACCAAATTCTGTTGTCAAATTGTAGATTCTAATGCAAACTTCAGACGTGCATCATTTTTGTATTGATGTTCGATTAAGGTGATTTAAGTGTCTACAT